CCCTCCCTGCGCGCCCCAAGCCAGGGCAGAGCGAGGCTGCACGGGACGCTAGGGAACGGAGCGTTCCTTCTGTTTGCCTCGGTCAGTCGGGACAGCCCCAGCCTAGATAGGGACCTGGCCCAGCTCTGACCTCAGGCAAGCCCCACGCTTTCTCCGGGTTTCTTCATCGGGAAATGAGCATTGGGACTAAATGGTTGCTTCAGGGCTCTGTGTTCCCAGCCATTCTTAGCAGGGACCCAGGCGGACAGGCCGGGAGCGGTAGGTGAGGAGGGGCCTCTAGAACAGCTGGGGAGGGGTCAGATTGCAAGGTGGGCACAGGGACAGCGCACACCCTGGAGAGGACAGTCTCAGCCCTGGGAGGGACAGGCAGCTGGGGGACAGCGTCAGGTGCCTGACAGGCCTGCAAGCAGGGAACAGCTGAGGGAGTTCCTGGGCCCTCGCCCTCCCTCATTCTGTGGGCTCAAGGCGCCCACAGGGCTAAGGGAGCCTGGCCCCCCTCAGGCTTCCCAGCCACTCCCCAAAGACCATCTCCTGGGTGAGGCTGGAGGGACCCTCCGAAGGAAAAGCTGTGACGCTCACCACAGTAGCCTGGTGACAGGTGTGTGGGTGGGGTGGCAGAAGAGGAATCCCAGCTCTGCTGCTGGCGGTGTCCTCCAGGCATCACTGCCTAAGGGTTGCAAACATGAAGGACCCGTGCGAGGCCCCTGCGGTGACTGTGCCCTCTGGGACGCAGGGAGAGGAGCCCTGACCCCCATGGGACATACCCCTCTCTGCGCCTATGACCTCAGGCCAGGAAGCGTCTACCCGCAGGGAGGCTGAGTCCCTGGGGACAAGACTGATTGTCTAGAGAGCAAAGTACAGCCCACTCCTCCCGACCCCCACACCCCGGCCACATCTTTGCGTATCACCCTGGGTTTGCCATTCATTGCTGGCATCTCCATGGAAACCCCTCATCTCACTCCTGGGGCCTAATGCCGTTGCTCACCAGGAGTGTTGAGGAAGCAGCCTACAGACCCATGGAACCCCAGCGGCAGATGACATGTTTCAGGGTCATCTCTGGCCTCATGTTTACAGGCCTGGGTTGGGGTAGCATCCGGCCACCCCCTGAAGTTAGAGGTCCGAGCTCCAGGGTGTCTCTCGGCCTCCCCAGAAACCCAGGTTTCTCTCGGGACAGTGGCACCTGTGCCACCGAGTGACTGTGACAGGAGGTCCCTGCCTGCCATCTGGCCCCTAGAGCAGCCCCACTTTTTGATCTTCGTTGAACTAATGTTCAACAGCTCAGGAGGCAAGGCCTGAGGACCAGAAAGCAGCAGCCCCAGCAGCCGGCCAAGGTGTTTGCAGGTGATGCACCTTCACAAGAAGGCAGGGAGGGAGCAGGCTGAGGGGATGCAGGGGCCACCTCCAGGCTCCAGGTAGCCGACCATGGGAGGGTCCACGCTGCCCGGGCCCTGGCCCAGCAGCCGGGCGGAGGGTCAGCGATGCCTCTCAGGCGCAGACCATTGGGCGCCTGTATCTTGCCGGGAGCCAGGCTCACTGAGGGTCCGTTTGGGTGAAGCACCATCGTGTTTCCCCCAAAATGAGCAGCTCATGTGCCTCAAGCTGCCGGGCCCTGGCTGGTCACCTCCGAGGGCAGAGTTGTAGCCATGGTGGCTGCCCATCAGGTACCTAGGTGGGGGCTGGAGAAATCACCCTTCACAGATGAGGAAACTGAGTCACCCAACGTCCAATGGCTAGGAAGTGGTCAGGTTACCATTGGGTCATACCTGTCTAGCTCCTGTGCTCGGCTGCTGCCCGGACACCCCCACTGGGGTCTGTTCATGAACTCACAGGACCCAAGGATTCTCACGAACAGCCCAGAGCCTTCCTGAGACCCCTTCCCTAGAGCTCCAAGGGCCCCCAGGTAACTGCCAGCCACACAGATCTGCCCCCCAGGCCAGTGCGGTTCCGTGAAGGAGAGCAGAGTCTATCACGGGACTGCAGGGATGGTGAGTGGGACAGGGGCCTGAGGGGATCTAGTCCCCAAGGGCAAGCTAAACACTGGTTTGAAGGGGCAGCAGGGCTACTAGTTTGCACAACTGTAGGGAGTACCACGCACATTGTAAGTGTGCAGTGCACAACTCGTGCTGCTGTACCAAGCAGCTGGGGAGGGTGGTAGCAACAGGAGTGGTAGGAGCCATGGGCATGCCCAGCGATGAAACCAGCTTTCCTTCCCCAGGGACAGGGACTGCCTGCAGGCTTCTGGGCCCCAACACTCAAAAATGTGTCCTGCCAATTGAGGGCCCAGTAGAGACCCTTCAGCCTCCCTGCTGGCCCTAGCCCTGCCCCGGAGAAAGGGCCAGCTGCCTCCTCCCCCATCCCTGACCCTGTTCCAGGCCCCAGCTGGCTTCCTGGCTGGCTGCAGGCCCTGGCTGTCACCCCAAAGGGAGCCACTCGTAAACAGGAAATGCTTCCCAATGCGATGCCTGCTCTGGGCGCTGTTGCCAGCCCACAGGCTGGAGGCCATATCCAAGCCGCAGTGTTGACTGGTCTCTCCAGCTGCCGGGGAGGGGAAGCTCACGGGGCTCCTCCACTCTTTGGGGCTGTTGGGGAAGGGGTGCTGGGCCCGAAGCAGGCAACTCCCTGCCCTCCTGTGTCTGGAGCTGCCTCCCTCCAGCAGCACGTGTGCCGGGACATTGACACTGCGCCCTTCTGCTCCCTCTCCCCAGAGACAGTCTGAAGGCAGCCCCCAAGTCGCAGAAAACGGACTCCGCCAGCATCGACTATGCAGAGTTGCTGCAGCACTTTGAGAAGGTCCAGAAGAAACACCTGGAAGTGAGGCACCAGCGGAGTGGGCGCGGGGATCACCTGGACCGAAGGGTTGTCCTCTGACAGGCCTGGCGTGGAGAAGGGCCCAAGGAGTGGTCCCGTGGAGCACTGGGATCTTCAGGCCCCTTCCCACCGAGCCTGAGGACCTGCCTCGGGAGCAGGGCTGGCCCTGCCACAGCCCAGGGATGGGAGCGGGGGTAGAGGCTGCTCTGTCTACCCGAACTCCTCTCACCACCCAGCCCCTTGGCCCCCCGAGCTGTCCAGCATTCAGATAGAGCCGGCTTCCTACCAGGGTGGGGCCACAGCCTCAGACGCCACCTATCCTCTGGAATGGGCTCTTCTAACACCCTCTGTGAAAGAGCTTGACCTCCCGGCCCACCAGAGCCCTGGCCTCATGCGATGTGTGTATACGGAGCTGTGTGCACATAGGGGCCAGCTCAGAGGTCCGTGTGAATGATGCATTCCCTGCCCCAATAAAGAAATGACGGGAAACCCTCAGCTTGTGCCTGCATGCTCCTTCCCACTGGCGCCTGCCCCTGCCTGATGCTGCAGCTGCCCCAGGACCTTGCACCTATCCTGGAGACAGGGCTCATGGTGGCCCCCAGGAGGGCTAGCTTCGCCGGGAGTCTGGTTACTACACACTCACTTGACAGGTGTGGGCCTTGGGGGACCCAGCTCACCTCTAGGAACTGCCCCTACTTCCCAGAAAGCACCAAGCACTGGCCTGCCTGGAACCCGGAAACCCCTCCCAGGCACCTGCTCTGACTTCCATCCTGATTGCCCAGGGACCATGGGACACGTCCCCACTAGTCACATGGCCTGAGCGCACCTCCGGAGTGTCAGAAAGGGCATGCGCACTGCAGAACTGCGGCTCACTGGGGTGGGAAGGAGGGCCAGACCAGCGCAAGGAGGGAGGACGTGCCCAGGTGAAGCTTCCCCTTGGTTGGGCTAAATGAGCCTCACCTAGCCGCACCTGTAGGCCCTTGGCCTCACACTTTGGGAGCCTCTGATTGGCCTGAGGACTCTCAGGGCCCGTGGCGGGGGTGGAGCGAAGGAGCTTTTCCCAGAGCAGCGTCTCTGGGCGGTGGGTTTCACTGCTGGAGTCTCCAGGGTCGGGGTGTAGGACGCGGCCCACTTCTGCCCCACTGGACCAACATGGCCCCACCACCCAAGAAGGGTTGCCAGCGGGCCAGGTCACTACTACCCCCAACCGCCAGGCACCCCATCAGGGTGGCATCCGCGCCACTTGGAGCAGGAGCCGAAGAACTTGTGGAGCAGGGTCCGAACTCCTCCGCCTGGGATGGAGCGCCCGGGGCAGGCGGCCCTCGGACACCTCGTGCTGTGCGCGCCGCGGCCGACCTCGGGGTGCTCCCAGGGGACCCCAGCCCTCCGCGGGGCTGCTGAGCCCGGGAAGCCCCAGGCCCAAGACCTCGGGCTGCCAGGCCGCGTGAGCCCCTCCACCGGGGGCGGGCAGCCGGCAGGCCCCGCCCCAGCGCCGCCCCCGACCCGCGTTGGCGCCCGCGCCGCCGCCCGCTCGCCCGACCAGTCTGGCCGCGCCGGGCTCGGATTTCAAAGCCGCGGTGCCTGGCGGCGAACCGGCCCTGCGCCCGCCCGGCGTTCCCCACAGCCCTCCCGCC